CATCACGCAAAATTTCATGTACTTACATTTCATATTTCTTAGTATCTCTATTGTGGAAAAAATCCTCATCTGATTGCAAGATCCTTTTGGAACAAGTCATCACTATTTCATAGTCACGTGATACATATGCAAAATATGTAAGTCGTGTCAGTGTCTGCAATTCCACTAAGGAATCTGACCAACTGCATTCTAAAGCCAATTTCACTAACTGGGGAAAAAAAAAAAAAGAAGACAAGAAAAAGAAAAAAAAAAGAAAGAAAAAACCCCAGAGTTTAAGTCTCAGGTTTTTATCATGCTCTGTTCTCTAGCACTTATATGCTTATAGCTGTACCTACCATACAGCTCACCTGGACATGGAACAAGTACACGATTAAACAATCTAGAAAACCAAAGAGTACACGAACAATCAAAATGCACAATAGAGAAGCATCGTTCACCCTCTAGTAAGTATTGTAATAGCGTATGTAAATCCAGCTGTAAGTATGCATGTCTTTTGACCAGCAGTAGCTGCCAGGACTTATATGTCCTCAGTCCTCTTCTGAAAATCAGTGGAACACGATTTCCAAAATTCAGAGTTCATTTTAGTTAAGCCAAAGGTAAGAATGGGAGATAGAACTGGTTTTACAATGGAGTTTCATACATAATTTCACTATAGGATCTAAACGTCTTCCTTGCTTTTGCATGCATCAGTCAGAAAGTTCCATCTTTTTAAGATAATGGGAATTGTTAATCAATTGGTAAAAATGAGGATACTACAATACTGCTCTCCAAAATTAAGCCACTGATAAATCTGTAGACCAACTAGATTTAGATACCTATGTAAGAACCTAGATCCTAGTCTTTAGAAAGAAGGACTTCTACAAAAGTGCCAGATAATTGTCCTGGGACAACTGGGACAGACTTAGTTTTTCTTTTTGGAAGCTGGAAGAGCTCTGTGGTTTGGTTTTAGTCTGGGACTCGTTATGAGAAGAACGCTGACAGCGCGCTGATGTTTGTAGCTGACACCGAGACCTCAAGGACTTTTCAGCTGCTGTGGTCTTGCCCGTGTGCAGGAGCACAACAGGCTGCGGGGGTACGGCCAGGACAAAGGGCCCACAACTCCCCCTATGATTTGAATTTAGGATTTAGGGCTAAATTGGCCAATGGAGTATTCCATATCATGCAACGTCATGCCAGTATATAGAGGAAGGTTGACCAGAAAGAAGAGCTTTTGCTCTTCCAGGTACTCTCTTCGGAGGGCTCTCTTGGACTCTCAGAGTGCTGTTTCGCTCTCGTTCTGGTTTTGGGCCTCTTGCTTGTCTGGGATTGCTGTGTTGGGATTTACCTGTTTTGGTATCGTTTGCTGGGGTGGGACAGGAGTTGGTCACCGGACAGTGAGCAATTACACTGTGCACCACTTGTTTGTTTACATTATTATCATTATACATATGTATATTTTCATTATTATTATTACTTTTAATTTTATATTAAGATTAAATTGTTCTTATCTTGACCCACGAGTGTCCTTCCCTTTTCCCCTTTAATTCTCTTCCCCATTCCCCAAGGGTGGGGGAGGGTGAGCAAGTGGCTGTGTGGCGTTGAGTTGCTGGCTGGGCTAAACCACAACAACGTCACCAGACTCCTAGTTAAATGAGGAAATACATCTCAGTCCTTTAAGAATGCTCTTTACAGGAGGCAGAATTTACAAATGTAGTAATCAAACAGGTAAGACAGCAACTCACTGTTTTGAAAATACAGGGTATAAACCTTTCTACACCACCTTTATTCCTCTTGAACAGCCTGGTAACCAACAGGATCTCAGGAAAAGTGTGGCATGTGGCACTTATGGACATGGTTTAGTGGTGAACTTGGTAGTGTTAGCTTAACGCCTGACCTCGATAATCTTAAGGGTCTTTTCCAACCTAAATGATTCTATAATTCCATAAAGTTTTCTTCACAAAAAAGGAAGGGTCAGAAGTATGGTTCTGTACAGAATTCATCCGAAGCTCATCTGATGGTCATGGAAATAATCTGTTAGAGCACCATGGGAATAATTCTAAAACTGGTATTCTAATGCTAGCTGTGTTTTGGATAAATGAAAACATTCAGTCACAAAAATCTTCTACCTGTCATAACTATTCAATCTCTTGCAACGTTTTAAAGGAAATAATTGTATAATAGAAGTTTCAAAATTAATTTTACCTCCATCCAAACTGAAACTGAAACCACATTTATACTACACCATTTCTTAAAACTCGAGAGCTAATAAACCAAAAACTAAATACCTGAGATAAGCTAGGAACGGTGAAATCCATGAGACCCAAGCCATTACATGAATACATTTCTAGACCAACAAGAATTCTTGCCATAGGATTTTGTCCTTCACCGTTACTCTAAGCAGAAATAAAAAATTCACATTAACAGATTGGGTTCTTTTGCAATTATTATTAAAGATATCAATTAGGACGACAAGGTAATAATAACTATGTATGAAAGCCTCAATTTGCATTAAGCAAGTCTTCCTGTCTTTATTGAAATGGGGGATTTTATGTATGTATTTTTTTTTAATTAACATTGTGAACTGTGAACTACCACAGCTTCAATATTAAAAAAACATAGCAACAATACAAAGAATGTAAATTCCATAAATCACTGAGGGATTCCTGTTTCATAGACATAATAAAATAAAAAGATAGGAATAAAATTAATTTCCCACCTACTAGGTCCATATTCTATATATAAAGAGACATATAAACATATAAATGTTGATATAAATCTAGCAGATATTTCTTAACATTTTTAACGTAGTCATTTTTTTATTTTAAAAGTATGAATTCAAAACCAACTTTGTTATACAGTCATCATATGACAAACATCACCATAATTATTCTTGGCAGCTAAAAACAGAAGGCAGAGTTAAGAAATTTAGACTCACTGCTAGACCCAATGTGAAAAATTTGCTGTATTACATAAAGATTTATGGGAACTACAGGCAAAATTTATGTTCACAGGGTATTCAAATATATAGAAGAAAATACATATTGATAATTTCAGTCATTATTAAATGAATTTATGGATTCATGCTTAATTTTGCAAAGCAATGTTCAACATTATGCAGGATTTCAGAGAAATAATACCTGCTCCTCAGTCCCAAGCTGATGTTCGATCTGCTGCTGATTTAACTGTTTTGCTTTCACCCACGTAGCAATGATCTGCTGCTGTGCAGCAATAGGGACTGTTTCATCAGGTATGGTTCCAGTTGTCACACTGAGGGCAAATTCACAAATCTAAACAGTAAGAAGAAAAAGACCGAAACACAGGAGAAACATGGAAAGCTCTTTGTATTGAACATACCATCCATTAGTTATTTTTAAATTATTGCACATGCATCTCTTAGCCTAACAACATCTCCATTGAGTCAATCCCCATAGCAAATAGAAGTTACAGTACTCAGCCACAGTTGGTAAGGAACTTCAGTGTGCATTTGGGGAGGACCTGAGGTGGCAGGAACTGTAAAAGATGGCAGCCTATTTTTTGCACACGTTTCTACGATTTAATTTATATGAATTGTAATATATGACAGCAGACCAAGAAAGACTACAAAAAATGAGGACTTTGTACCTCTAAGGCAGCTTTGATATCAGGAAGTCCACTGGGATCTACTGAAAAAGACTGCATGACATTTGCTTTTTCATGTTTCTTTGCTGCAGCTTTTCTGCTTCTGTCTGTTGCTGCATCTTTTTTCTTCTTCTCAGCAAGATTTGGGTTTGGAATCCAACAAAGAATTAAGCCTCGAGCCAAAGCATTACATAACATCAATAAAACCTCAGTACTTCTGTAAAAGAAAACAAAAATTCGAAGTGCATACTGCATGAGATCAAAATAAGAGGAAGTAATAAAGTTTATTTTTCTTAGAGAGCAAAATTATGGATGTTACAAAAAATTTTCCCATTGGAAAAGCAGTTAAAATGGTTAAACATACAAAAAACATAACCAGCTTTCATAGTTTACATATTTTTTCAGCTCTTTCTGTAATAGAAGCTTCTATTTCCTCATAGAAAAAAAAATCATATTTATGTCAGACAAACACATTTAAAATATATTTTTTATTAGTGGACTGCTATGCATGAAAAGAATAACTAATTCCTTAAAAATTAACCTAAGTCAAACCCCTCACATAAAACCATTTATAGAATCATAGAATGGTTTGGGTTGGAAGGGACCTCAAAGTTCATCTCGTTCCAACCCCCCTGCCATGGGCAGGGACACCCTCCACTACACCAGGTTGCCCAAAGCCCCATCCAACCTGGCCTTGAACACTTCCAGGGATGGGGCAGCCACAGCTTCTCTGGGCAACCTGTGCCAGTGCCTCACCACCCTCAGGGGGAAGAATTTCTTCCTTAGATCTGATCGAAATCTCCCCTCTTCCAGTTTGAAGCCATCGCCCTGTGTGCTGTCACTACCTGCCCGTGTCCAAAGCCCCTCTCCAGCTTTCCTGTAGCCCCTTTAGGTACTGGAAGGCTGCTATAAGATCACCCCGGAGCCTTCTCTTCTCCAAGCTGAACAGCCCCAACTCTCAGCCTGTCTTCACAGGAGAGGATTTATCTATTACACTGTATTACTCTTCATGCCAATCAACTGCTGAGCTGGAATTTTTTACTTTTTTTTTTTTTTGAGAAAACACAAACTGAACTATGACTAAGAGATTATTGCTGATACATGCTAATATAAATATCAGAATTACTAAGCAGGTATCACCAGTCTTCATCTCTGCACAAACTGCACTTTAGCCTTTGTTCTCTAGTACTGTTAGAAGAGCCACCTTTGCTGCGGGTTCTAACAGTTTGCCTAGTGCTGAGGTCACTGTCAATAATGTGCTAAAATTTCTGGGATCTTGTCCCACAGTCAGACTTTGACTTGAGCATCTCCTCTGTCATTCTTCCATGGCATTTAGTACAGAATAAGATTTCTCTAAACCACCGTGGAATCTGTGTTCCCATTTTCATGGTCTATTAATGTGCACGTTTCCTTTATATTTTTTTCTCTTTTATATTTCAGAACCATTAGTAACCACCTAACTCTGATTAGAAATATTTACAATCAACTATATTCACAATATAATTCAACTTCAGAGCAACTGACAGCAAGAAAACATACTCTGAGCTGCCTTGCAAACTCACAGGCTAAAGAAATTTTCCCAATTCTTTCTGACCAGCTTAACAAAATGCTATTTCACACGCATATGTTGCTATTCCAAAATGAAGATAAATTAATATTGCACAGTCTGAAGTTAATACGGCTTACAGTGAACAGTAACAAAGAACAAACAGAAAGGATTAAAAAGTCATTTTCACACCACAAATTTAATCTCCTGAATTACTCTGTATATACCAAAGTCCCTCTACCACCAATAAAAGCCAGCAATGAGTCTTTCACAGCATGAAGTGATTTACCATGTCTGTAAAAATATTTTCTGGTTTAGAAAAAAAGAGCATGTTAATAACTAAACATCTAAATTTACCCATTGTGCCCAACAGTCTTGACAGCTCCAAGAAGAGTCTGCAGATACTCAGTAATTTCCCTCTGTCTTCCTGAAGATATAAGATGACTATTGTAGTTTAAGACATACACCACGGCATTGTGAACAATCCAGGCTTCATTCAATTCTTCTCCTATTTTGGCTGCACGTTGGAAGTTTTCCATAGCATACCGAGATAAGTAGTCTATCCATAAACTATGAAATTAGTACAAAGAAGCTGTTATTCCAAAACTTGAACACTAGAGGAATTATATTGTAAGGTTAAATATGCAGTAGCACATCTGAATCAACAACAACTTTTAATTACTTTTCAGTTGCATTCATTAAGTCTTCATCCGTTAACTTACATTTTACTTGGATGAGAAGATGACTCAGGAAAGGAATTATTATTGACCTACATCTCTAATAATCAAATGTTATTTGCGTAAAAACCAGCAGCTATAGTTCATGCTTCATCCACGTGTTTTTTTAAAATGCAAGTGTGCATCCACACATCCATGCTAGAAATAATTAAATATCCGTGACAGGGCTCTCGTTGAATCCAGACACAAGTAAGGCATTCTGCTCAAGTGTTAAGGAGGCATCTTTTTCACTTAACAACTGCATGTGTTCTTACACTCAAAGGTATCTCCAGATGTTGTGAAAAGCTAAATTAATTTTTAATAGAATAACATCTTTTTCATAGTCTACGCAATAACTTTATTTCAGTAACTTTATTTATGTTCTTTTTTTCCCCCCTTAATTATCAAGATGTACCATTAACTAGAAAAAGCAATATTAAAAATAGAGTCTCGAATGACCGTACAGAATAGCCATGGTTAAGTCACAAAACCAAAAGCACAAACTGACACAGGGTACTACTCTGTCAACAATAGTACAGGATACAGTAGACCAAAGTGCTTTTTTCCTAATTGGGTGTCATGGTTTGATGTGGAGGGGGG